AGCAGCAGTGGATCTGGGGTGTTGGAGTCCTCCAAGGCACTACAGGATGGGGGAGAGACCACAGCGCCAGACCCTGGGAAGATGTAGAGGGCCTCTGTGATGGGGGCACCGTGGTGGGGAACGGTTGCTCCCAGTAGAGTAGATACTGGTGGAAGCCACATATCTTACTCTTGGAGAAGGGAGTTAGGAATGCTAATTTCTATGTTTTATTGAAAGGAACAGTTAATGCCTAATTGTTTGATCAATTTTGCATGCCTATATCTGGTAATCTGAGCAACTATTTTGAAGATAACAATGTGCAACATAACAACCATTGTTAATTTCCTATCATCTTGTTTTGAAATTCTGTATCATTTTTCTTGTTTTTAAAAATTCTCTTCAAAATAAAAAAACAAAAGAATGGAAAGAGAGAGGACAAGAAAAAAACCTGGCATTGGGTTGGAATTACTGTGAGTTCATGATACGTGGAGAGATAGCTAGAGTGAAAAATAAATATACATGCAAATATACATGTATGTGTATATATGAAATTAATACAAATATAAGTTATACATATGATGAGAGTTGGGGAAAGGACCAGAAATCTGTGATGCCCCAATAACAATGAGCACACTTAATACCTGGATTTTGGCTTCCGAATACAGTTCTCTAACAACCAGGATACTTTGGGGAAATGATTGGTATCAGGGCCAACACTAAAACCTGCAGAATCTTATGCCACAAAACAGAAAGTGCTCAGAGAATGAAAAGGATGTGTCCAAAAGAGGAAAGACAGAACACAGAGGCATTCACTGATCATGTCTGAGACAGTTTGAACATCAAAACAATTAACAAGAAAAAAACTCTAGATGTGATGGTGCATAACCATAATCCCAACACCCAGGAGGCTAAGGCAGGAGGATTGCCCAGGAGTTCAAGGCCAGCCTGGGATACATCATGAGTTCAGGGTCAGCCTAAACTACATGATGAGACCCTGCCTAGGGAAAAAGTCCCACATAGATAGATAGATAGATAGATAGATAGATAGATAAATAGATATGATGATCAATTAAATAGAATAGTAATCTGTGAATTCATGGAAATGTAAATAGATAAATGAGGAAAAGAGAAATCTTTCAGCAGAAGGAATAATAAAGTGATAAAATTAGAAATTCACTGTTTGGCAACCATGACAGCAATGATTAATTCATCCAAGAAACATCAATGGATGCTAAACCTAATTCTTAAAATTTGACTGAACAAGATATTTACATACCATCAAAGTGCCTCTCTATAAAATGTTCATAAGTTACAAAGGATAAAAGAGTAGCTTTCTTTACGGTGGGTGAAGCTGGCAGATGCTGCTTTGGTGGAGTTCTCAGAGTTAATACCAACAGGAACAGGGCAGGTCAACACTTTGTGGGATTCAGTAGTATTCAACGAGAAGAACCCAGCATCACTTCTGTGATATTTTGCCAATCCCAATCTGAACCTAATCATGAAGAAATGCCAAACAAATGCAAATGAGTCTACAAAATAACTCATCTGGGATCCTTACACACTTTGAGGTCATGACAATACAGGAAGAACTGAAAAGTGTTCCAGAGCTAGAACAGCTAAATACAATGATCCTAGTTTGTATTATTTTGTTGTCAAGGACAATCAGTGCAATTGTTGAAACTCAAATAAGATTGGTGGCTTGCACGGTAATTCTTCAATTCTGATGGTTGCTTGTGATTATGCAGAGAATGTTTTTGTATGAATTACAGTCAAGCATTCAAGGATTTGGGTGTCACATCAGCAACTCACTCCCCACTGCGTAAGAAAAAATATTCTGTAAATCCCTTAAACTTTTCTGTAAGCCTTTCTTTTTTTAAAAGAAGAAGAAAGTAACTGTAAGATAAATACAATGAAAACAGAAGAGGAAACTAGCTAGATTCTGTTGTCTGTCAAGGGCTGGGAGTTTAAGATCTATTCTCTGTTTGAAATGGAGATTAGGTGGAGTTTGGTGTTCCGGGTTTGCTTACAACAACCTGGGACTTTCTTCTGATATCAGAGAGGGCAGGAAATTAGAAAAGGCCATAACATTCTCATGTATTTTTGTATTATTTAGTACTCTGTTTGTATTTACCCCAACCCATCCTTTATTCCACTTGCATGTTTTGGCTACACATTAGGTAACACTGGAAAGCAATTTCCCAAGTACATGTTTAAAGGCTTAGACTCAGTGGATGCATACAGATAACTTGCTGTTCTTAATTCCACTAACTATGCCAAATAAAATCATGTCGACAGAGAAAATATTATTAACTGAAAGCTCTGACTTATATCCAGACTTGACCCAATTTAGCACAAATTCTTTCATAGCCAACTGATGAAATGTTTAGTCTTCTGTTTTGGGGGGCAATAGTGAGACTGAACTCTTTACGTTGAAATACATGCCCAGCCTTGGGTTGTTTCTTTTTTGTACCCCCCTCCCCACCGCTAAATTCTCTCTAAATTGCTAGTTGCCCATGCTGGGCTCAAATTTACAATTCTCCTTATTTAGCCTTTCTGAGTGTTGGGATTACAAGGACGTGCACCATACACTACCCTTTAGTCTTTCCTTAATACTCAGTCTTTGAGGCCCAAAGAGTCCATGGAATGTTTCCTGAGGTCCAGTCTCCAACATTCAGCTGCCTGTTGGCATTTCCACAGGGACGACGTACTAGTGCCAAAGCTCAATATTTCCTCTCCCAGTCCCAGTTCTCAAATCTCCTCTCCCTCTCATCCTGCCAGAGTGAATATCATCCTCACCCACCAGTTTTTCAAGCCAGAATTTTCGTATCATTCTGAACCCGCCCCCCACTTCCTTCCTACCTTCTTTTCCTGTAGATTCTACTACCAGGTCTAATAATTTTACCAAAGAATGTATCAGATACACCCACATCTCATGTATCCACTGTTTCCATCCAGCCCAAGCTGTCCACTGTCGATTCCACTCCCACCCTCACCCCTCCAATTTATTCTCCAAACAGCAGCCAGAGTTTCCAAAAACAAACTTGACCTAGTAGCTGTCTTCCCTAAAACGCTTCAGAACTGTACTGTATAATGCAGCAGGAGAGCACACTTGACTATTTCAACCAAATTAATTAAAATTAGATAAAAATAAACATTTAGTTCCTCTATCACATGTACCACATTTCAAATGCTCAAAAGTCACATAGCTGGTGGCTGCCATATTGCACAGCACAGATTAAGAAACATAGAAGCTTTCATTCAGACAGCACTGCTTTAAAAGCTTTTTACTATATATAAGTAAAATCCAAGCTTCTTGTCCAAATCTACAAGCCCTCCTGATTGGATCCAAGCACCCTTTCCAGCCTCTCACCTGTGCCTTCCTCCACTGATCACCTCAGTTTAGCAATAGGATTTCTTCTCATTTCCTCAGCTGGACACAGATCTTTGCTACCTCAAGGCTTTGCTTATGGTGTCACCCATCCCTGAAAATATCCCCCTTTCTCTGCATACTTAACTCCCTTTATCCCTCAGCTTTCCTCTTAAACACTTCTCCTTCAGAGACCAAACCAAGTAAATTTAACCTACCGCACTCTCTTGATACTTTCTTTTTTCTTCCTTTTTGAAATCATGTTGTAATGGTGATATATTTATTTATGTGTTTTTTTAGTACCTATCCCTCTAAATCTGTGTGGATAGAGGACCTAATTTTAAACTATATCTTTATTGCCTAGCAAGTGCTTAGCACATAAAATTCAATCAAATATCATTTGGTGGATGCACAAAGAATTTTATAGTAACATAACCCTATAATCCACAGGTCTCTTTGGGAGTTAGGCTGAGTATGGTGAGGATAGTAGAAATCAGAATAAACACAGGTTTCTATCCAACTTCTGACCTTACTACTTCTTAATGATAGGTCTTTGTCTTCAAGTATTGTCAACTGAGGTAATCCAAGAAAAGACACTTTTTCAATTCACTTGCCTTCATAATCCTGTAACAGTTCTTTATCTGAGAAATGGGAATAAATCTTTGGTGTCTAATGTCTGGGACCATAGTAGTGAGTCTCTTGAGAGCTGTTTCTGCCCCAGTCTATAATTGCATCATTCTGTATCGAGGAGGCTGTTTTCTCCCACCGGGAAATTTGGAACTAAGTAGCCTACTACAGAGGTTAATTGCACAGAAAATGCAATTCGCGGGCCATCAACTTCGTCCTCCTCATGTTTCTGTTATTAGGCTGCTATTAATGCTTTGCTTTCAAAATGGCCTAAAAGTATAGCAGATTAAAGAAAAACAATGAGAAACCTAATACCTGAAATACCCATCATCTGGATTGTTGGCCACAGAAAAGTAGCCTTGATGGTGTCCACCTGAGAGAGTGCACTCATCCAAGTCCTCCCCACACAGCTCAACGTGAAACAAACAATCTCTCCTTTGGCAACTGCTACCCCCTGGGAGAGACAGGACACTGGCAGGCCTCCTACTGGGATTCATGAACTAGCAGAACTGGAGGGGACATCAGTGACTGTCACAACCGAGCAAGAATGTTCCTATTTGCCGAAGCAAGCTTAAGCTCTGAGGACCACAGCTTGGGTCTCCACACTCATGGTGTGGGGCCCACACGACACCAGCATGCTGGAACCCATTCTCCATAATGGTCCTTCATTTCCTGCCCTACCCAAATAGCCCCATCAGGAGTGACTGGTAGGTATATATGATTGTAACACTGTCCTCAGGATGTCAGGAGAAATCTCCAATTTAAACCCAAAGTCTCTCTCTTGTACTTTAATACTGCTTATTCCAGTTCCAAGTGGGTGAGGACACAGGATTCTTATTTAGTTACAAATCTCCCTTCATAACATACTTAATACAGGGACCAACTCCGTCCTCTGCCCTCAGGACTCTGACTTGAGGTAGGGACCAGGGTAAGAAAGGGGCATTGTTATGTCACCACACCTTTTCCGCAGGACCTGGCCAATAGCAGCCCACCTGGTCCCCACTTAGAACAGAGGGCAGCCGAGGAAATGACATCGTGTTCTTTACCTCTCTCTCCTAAGTGCATAAGTTAGATTCCAAGGCTGGGGAGAGAGGAGGAGGAGCTGAGGAAATAACAACGGGAACGACTTCCCTTTGGAGTTCTCATTTTTACAACAAGGACTTGTTAAAGTTCCAGAGTAGCAAGGACAAGGCTGATGGTGAAATCAGCCCCTGAAAGAAAGACCGTGAGTCAGACGATATCTCCCCTGTCCCTCTCCATTCTTTTCTCTCTCCCTCTCCGTCAATCTTTCACATAACACACGTTATTCTCTCAGTATGCAGGACATGGCTGCTCACTGAAAAACTCTAATCATTTTTCTCAAAATAAATAAGAGTAGGATGCCTGGGCCATTCCAAAGGAATAAAGAGATGAAATTAACCACGGTGTGGTCAACATGAACTTGTTCTTCCTGTCAAGGTCATGGGCTATGGGCAGACAGCTAAGAATCCTTCACTCTGCTTCGCAAATGGTGGCTTCTCATTGGGTTCCCTACTGCTGGCTTCTGAAAACCATTGCCAGGGCCACCAGCAGGGCTGCTAATTGAAGAGCTACACAGGCTTTTCCTTAAAAGTCAGAATAACATGGTGAAACCGGTCATGTTGCTGCTGCTCCCCCAGCATTCCTTCTGCAAAGCTTGTTCTTATTCACGTAATGGAAACTTGCAAAGTACAGCAGACAGAAGGCTGAAGGTCAAATGATAAATTCTGAGTGCTAAGACATGCTTTACTAGCTAAAGCTCTATGCTCCACTGGGCCTCCGCTTATATAAGGCAAAGCTCCAGGAGCCATGAGCAGAGATTCACAGACTCAGGAAGAACTGGAGAATTTGGGTCAGGATTGAGGGGAAAAATGTTCTCTGGCTGGGAACTAGGTACTATCTATTGAACTGCAATGTGCCAGGTATAGATAATTTGTTTCACATGACAGTATGTATATGGATGCATGTACAGGTGTGTTGATATAGATGCAAGAATGTACATGTATCATTCATATATAAATACATCCTTTAATGGCGAGAAAACCAAAGCTCAAAGGTGTTGGTCAGTTGTTTTAGTCTGTCTCCTAAACAGAAGTTGTGACGCAGACTTGAGTGCAGGTAATTTATTTGGAGGTGATCCTGGGAGCTGCAGTGAGGATGTAGGGGAAGGGCTACTAGGAAGGAGGGAAGCCAACACACAGCATGTCATGTCACTGATCTGATTCCTGGGTGGGTGGATGGGCTGTTGCACTGGACACTTTGACAGTGGGTCCCCTGCACTTCTAGGTTACACCCTGTGATACTGGTTTATGGCACTGAGTTCCTAAAACCCTCAAAATTTCCTCCAGAGTTCTCTTTTCAAATTTAAGAGCTCCTGGCATGGGGAAAATGTTGAGTTGTGTCATCTGAGGCTTGAGCTCTCCCCAAGAGAAGGGCATGTAGAAATAAACTGCAGGGCAAACTCCTGGGAAGTACAATCTCTCCTGCCATTGCTCATGGCTAGCCCTAGAAAAAGGTCCTAGAGAGCGACTGGCCTTTGGAGTGGGGCAGATCGTTCAAATGGGTCTTTGTGGCTTGCTGTCATTTCCACCTTGCCCACCTGTGATTGCAGCTGTAGTAGCAGCGGACAGTTCCAAACACACAGACAACTGTCCCCTCAAAGCAAGCCAGGTCTTTATCAGTTCAGATCTCCACAGCTCACATTCAGTTTGTATGGGAAAAAGAATCTACTGTGTAGTAGGGAAAACAAACTTCTGCTCTCGCAGTACAGAGCAGTCTTTGGTCAGATGTGTGGATGTTTTTCCTACACTGATCAATTATCCCATACCAGTTGGTGTCCTAAGTTCAGTTCAATCCTGATACTACCTACCTGAAGTTAGAGTCAGGTTCTGACCTGCTGACTATAAATTGGAAATTCCCACAACACCCTTTTGAGTCTCACAATCATTTGCTCACAGAATTCAGGAAAATGTGTACTTACGTTTTCCATCGTGTTTGGAAAGAGATTGCAGAGGATACAGATGAACAGCCAGATGGAGGGCATATAGGGTGAGAGATGTGGAAAGGGCAATGAGACCTTACAAGTCCTAGACTTCAATGCTTGTCCAGTTCCGGCATTCAGGACTTTTACTGAGGCTTGACCACAAAGGCGTAATCAATTAACTCCACTTCCAGCCTCTCCTCCCTCTCCAGAAGATGGGGCATAAGGTGGGACCGAAAGTTCTGAGCTTCCATCATGGCTGGATCTTTCTGATGATGAGAGCACATCCAGAAATTAAGAGCCACCCTGTTCAAACAAACCACACTCCTATCACCAGGAGAGTCCCAGGCATTAGGAGCTGTGTTTAAGGAACCAGGGCCAACAAGCAATGCACCTAGCACTTTTGCTTTGGATAGCAGGGTTTTAGGTGCTCTGTATCAGTCACTGGGGTTGAAGATACATATATTTCTTATTACAAATCATAACATGAGCTCTTTTGAGGTAGAGTATGTATACTGGTAATTATATATAGTATATATAATATATATAAGTATACATAGTATATGTATATATAGTATATAGCATATATATATGTATTGTATATATAGTATGTAATATATGTATAGTATATATTATATATGCATTCATTACAAATCATAACATGAGCTCTTTGGAAATAGAATATGTACACTAGTAATGAGCTAGCTATCAATAAAATGTTCCATAAGATCAGGGTCAGTGGCAGAAAGTTGTAATGGAAACATCTATACAGGTGGTGAATTAGACTTAGGTGTTAAAAGAAATTCTAGAATCCCCATAGGCTAAGTGGTGTCCACCCACATTGGTGATAGCAATCTACTTATCTTTATCCACCAATTCAAATGCTCATCTCTTTTAAAAGCACTTTTGCAGACACACCCAGAAAGGATGTTTTACCAGCTAACTGGGCATCTCTTAATCCAGTCCAAATGATGCAAGCATTATGGTGACTACAAACAGAGACTAGCTGTGAAAGTCACAGTTCTCAGGCTGACCTTGAAGGCTGGCTACAGGCTGTGTTGGGTAAGCCCTCCCTGCTTCATGCAGTCCTGGTCCTCCAGCACCAGCCTGGGCCATTCTCATGAAGGCTAGCAGGGCTCCTAAAGGCAGTGGACAGTTGCAGGGTTCCCAGAGGCTGGAGTTTAGAATGGCACAGCATCACTTCCATCAATTCTATTGGTTAAAGCAAATCCCAAGGCTAGCCTGGACTTTTTCCCATTGATCTTTTCATAGGAAAAGCTATAAATCTTTAATTTTAGAATTAAGACATGCATGATTTTCTTACACAATTCCCCTTTTTTATATAAATGAGAAAATAAGATGCAGGGTAAATGAGTATGTTGTTTCGGGTTGCACAGCTTGTTAGAGGATATGCCCCATTCCCTGGGATGGGTCGATCCAAGCAGGTAAGATGGCAGAGGAATAAAACCTAGGAGCGCCCATGGAGGCAGAAAACTGAGTCATTTGTGCTGGGATAATGGAGATGTCTTTCATCTGCTTGCTCAGGGTAAGCCGTGAAAAACAGCCCAGCCCAAACTGCAAATCACATACCAGCAATATTCCCTGAGTGAGTTGATTCTTTATTGAGAATCAAATGATTTATAGCACAAAGCCCATCATTATAGGCATCTTTTAAAGAAATCTTTAAGACAAATGGTACAGGTATTGAATTACTCTGTTATGAACCAATTTGTGTTTTTCAAAACAGGAAAAGGTCACAAGGGACAGAAATTTTCAGTAATGTTGTCCTTTTTAGTTAATACACTGAGAAGAATGTGGCAGTTCATTACATGCACCTCCTTTTTGTTCTTTTGTATACATTTTGATGAGCTTCCTAAATTCCCTCAGTAAATAGCAGATATTATGGGCTCCTTTATTAAAACTTGGGAGCAACTAAGCATAAAATGAAATATGACTACTTTCCAACAAGCCCGCCATTGCCATTAAGAGGAATGTTCCAGCAGCACAGGCTGTACTTGGAGGTTTTGCTGATGCTTTGGTACTTCACAATTCTGATTTGGGATAAGAAAAAAATTCTCCCCATTAGACAGAGTACATAATTCATAACAAGAAACAACCGGTACCCTTTAGATTTTATTCTGCAGAGTCTATACCCTTAGACACTTCTGAATTTAACCTTGGGATTACAAAGTTATCTGCAAGTGGTTTACAAAACCTGTTTTGCCTGTTTTTAATTTTAAAAGTTTACCTACCATCCAAATTCTCATAGTTAAAAATTTGAATACCATAAAGAAGTAAGAATGAATATCATATAACCTTCACTCATATCTTTCTACCCTTGTACACTTCCAACCATTTACTTCCCCAGAGTTAAATACTGCAGTTTGGTCTGTAACTTTCTAGATAGCTTTCTACGCCTGCACGTTTATAACACAAATCTATAGAGGCTTTTATATTTTGAATAAATGGCACACTTCTCTAGATTTTGTACCTAGATCACCTTTTACACTTATCCGTGTTTTAAAGATTTTTCCATTTTGTCTCATAGATGCCCATTATAGTTTTCACTTCTATACAATATTTCTTAGGAAGGAAGTATGTTCATTTTTTACCTTCTTTTGATGATTTTTAGGTTATTTCTGATTTTTTTATTATTACAAGTAATGCTACAGCAAATATTGTGATGTGTGCGTGTGTGCGTGTGTGGTTGTGCCAGTGCTAGAGTGTTTCTGTAGTATAATTCCTTGAAATGGAATTTCTGGATATAAAGGGAATAGGTATGCAATAGATTTTTGTTTGAGTGTGTCCCCTAGCATCTCCTTAGATATGCTTTGTGTTTAGTGCTGATGAGACAGCTTTGGAAAGCCTTAGGGTCAGACAGGGTTTGTATCCAGCCTCTACCACTTTGTAGGTGATGACTTGGGAAGTTAATGTCTTTGTACCTTCATTTCCCCCCTGCAAACATAGGACTCATGGATATCTCTAAATGATTTGAGTTTTAAATCATAGTGCATTGAGATGAAAATGTCTAGGCCAGGAATGGTGAACCTTTTAGGGATTTCAATGATACAAAGAATCTGCTGCAGTACCTGGGCCATAAGACCTGCCATCACTGACCTAGGCTGTGATGGGTATTCACCTTTTGCCAAAAGTAATAACCTATGTTTTGAACTTCACAAAATCTCTTGTTTGCAGTACAGATTCTAGGGCATCATTCCAAAGATACA